ACGTTCAAACAATAAGGACCCTTCAGGATTGGCGGAAGGGAGTCTTCCGGATTGGGAACTCTCCGAATTGGCAAAATGAGGACCCCTCGTGGTACGTTCGAAAAACTAGAACCCTTCAGGATCAGCAAAAAAGGACCCTCTGGATTGGCGAAATTAGGACTCCTCCCGGTGCGTTCGAAAAACAGGACCCTTTCAGGTTGGCAATTAGGACCCCTTTGGGATTGGGATCCTTCCGGATTGACGAAATGGGAAGCCCTCCGGGTAAGTTCAAAAAATTAGAACCCTTCCGGTTTGGGAATAAGGAACCTTCCGGATTGGGAACCTTTCTGTATGGCGATTTGGGGACTCATCCGCGTACGATCGAAAAGTTAGAGTCTAACAGATTGGCGAACAAGGACCCTTGCGAATGGGACCCTTCCGTATTGGAAAGATGGGGACCCCTCCGGATATGTTCGAAAATCAGGAACCTTCTAGATTGGCGAATAAGGACCCTTCCGGACTGGCAAAATGAGGACTCCTCCGTGTACGTTTGCAATTTTACGACCCTTCCGTATTAGTGAAAAAGGACCCTATGGGATTGGGAACCTTACTGCTTGGCGAAGCGTTGCCCCCTCTGAGTGCGCTAGAAAAAGAGGACTTTTCTGGATTAGGATCCTCCCGGATTGGGGACCCTATGGGATTGGGAACCTTCCTGTTTGGTGAGGCGTTGCCCCCTCTGAGTGCGTTCGAAAAAGAAGACCTTTCCGGATTAGGATCCTCCCGGATTGGCAAATGGTAGCCACCGAGTGCGCTCGAAAAACAGGACCCTTACAGATAAGCAATTACGGACCCTTCCTGATTGGGACCCCTTTGGGTTGACAAAATGGGGAGCCCTCCGGGTACGTTCAAAAAATAAGGACCCTTCAGGATTGGCAAAAGGGAATCTTCCGGATTGGGAACTCTCCTGGTTGGTGAAATGAGGACCCATCCATGTACGATCGAAAAGTTAAACCTTCCAGAATGACAAATAAAATAAATTCAGGATTGGGTCTTTCAAAAAAATTTTCTAGGTTGTTTTTGTCAAAAAAGAATAAATCGTTTGTGCGATAATTATTTTTCTGATTAAGTGATACTAAAATAAATCAAATCCGTTAGGTGGTTCTAATCCGTTAAATAAATCAAATCCGGTAACTTTTTTATCTAAACTCAGAAGTTTTCGACTCTTATAGGTTGCGCTCCGTTTTTTTGCAAAGCGTGTGGTGTGCCTTGGGTCTATCAGCTACTGATTTCATCTCAAAAAAAAAACTTCTTTGGCCGGAGAAAATGAAAAAAAAACTAAAAATTGGACCCCGCTGGATTGTTGAATACACCAAATCAAACTCGTTAAGTTTAATTTCTCCGGGACGTAAGAAGGGTTACTGGTATCAGGTTTGACACAACTAGATTAATAAACACAAAATAAGCAAAAAAGTCGGATCGTGTCTCGTCAGGAACCATATTCGCTACTGATAGTTTTTTTCTGTCTTTTTGGTTTTTTCGGTTTTACTTTGTTTTTTTTCGGTGTTTTATTTAAACTTTAATTTTGCTTGGTTTTTTGTATATCTTTAAATTTTTTGGTCATATAACCTCTAAAGAACGAAAAGACGGCCAATACCTCCATCCTTTACGGTACGTCAAAGAATCTGGGAGGCTTTTGTGTTTAGAATCACCCTTCTATTTGTCGTTTGAAGTCTTTTTGTGGGCATCCGTTCTACGTGGAGACTTCAGTTAAGGATTTTGCCAGTCATGATAAATTATAAAGCACCCAAGAGTGGCATAAAAACACATACGTAAGAAACGTCCAAAGTTGATAACGACGAAACGCTAGGTCCTGAAACAGAGCTTTACTTGCTATTGACCGTCGCTGCAATATCAAATTCAAAATGGTTCTCAGTACATTGAAACGAAAAAAATGTTACTAACAATGGGCCATCAGCTGAGTTCCACAATTTATCCTAACTTACAAGTGAATATAGTGAGCTCATGGCTGGGTTTCAGTATCGAAAGACCACAAGGTTGTTCAGAAAACAGATTTGGTACGCGATCATTACACAATTACTATATTACTATTGTTTTTGTAGAGTAAAGGATATCAGCTCACCCATCAGAAAATAATTCACCCTTGAACTCCAATCTTAGCGTCTCATGATCTTTCGAAGGGTTGTTTTTCTGATTTTTCCGGTTCTACGTTCACATTCAATAGAGGCGAAGATTCTAATTTTGGATCTTTCCAGGTCTGCAAACAAGGACCTAGCCGGGTTGTGAACTCGCCGATTTGGCAAAACGAGGACCCCTCATGGTACGTTCGAAAATTTAGAAACCTCCAGGATCAGCAAAAAAGGACCTTCCGGATTGGCGAATTGAGGACGACTCCTGGTGCGTTCGAAAAATAGGACCCTTTCAGGTTGGCAATTAAGACCGCTTTGGGATTGGGACCCTTCCTGATTGACGTAAAGGGAAGCCCTCCGGGTATGTTCAAAAAATTCGAACACTTCCGGTTTGGCTATAAAGGACCCATCTGGATTAGGAGCCTTTCTGTACGGCAAAACGGGGACGCATCCGCGTACGATCGAAAAGTTGGAACTTACCAGATTGGCAAAAAAGGACCCTTTCGTTTGAGGCCCTTCCGTATTGGAGAAATGAGGACCCCTCCGGATATGTTCGAAAAGTCAGGAACCTTCTAGATTGGCGAATAAGGACCCTTCCGTATTGGTGAAAAAGGACCCTATGGGATTGGGAACCTTCCTGTTTGGCGAAGCGTTGCCCCATCTGAGTGCATTCGAAAAAGAAGACCTTTCCGGATTAGTATCCTCGCGGATTGGGGACCCTATGTGATTGGGAACCTTCCTGTTTTGCGAGGCGTTGCCCCATCTGAGTGCGTTCGAAAAAGAGGACCTTTCCGGATTAGGATCCTCCCGGATTGGCGGAATGGTGCCTCCGGGTGCGCTCGAAAAACAGGACCCTCACAGATTTGCAATTACGGACCCTTCCCGATTGGGACCCTTCAGGATTGGCAAAAGGGACTCTTCCGGATTGGGAACATTCCTGGTTGATGAAATGGGGACCCATCCGGGCATGATCGAAAAGTTAAACATTCCAGAATGACGAATAAAATAATTTCAGGATTGGGACTTTCGGAAAGTTTTTTTCTAGGGTGTTTTTGTCAAAAAAAGAATAATTCGTTTGTGCGTTAATTATTTTTCTGATTAAATAATACTAAAATAAATCAAATCCGTTAAGTGGTTCTTGAGTTAAAAAACGAAACGTCTTTCATCTAAACTCAGAAGTTTTCGACTCTTATAGGTTGCGCTCCGTTTTTCTGCAAAGCTTGTCCCTTGGGCTATCAGATACTGAATTGATCTCAATAAAAAAAAATTTGGCCGGAGAAAACGAAAAAAAAACAATAAAAAATGGACCCCGCTGGATTGTTGATTACACCAAATCAAACTCGTTAAATTCAATTTCTCCGGGACGTAAGAAGGGTTATTTGTTGGTAGGTTCTAAAAACTGTCGACTCAATGATCTCTATCGGGGTAAGTATTTAGGTATTTAGTTTCAAATTTTTTTTAAGAACGGTGTTTCTAATGTCAAAATAAACAAAAATGTATAAAAAAAAAATTAGAGATATCTCAATAATCTCGTTCTGGGAGATTGAAAAATCAGAATTAGGATCCGAAAATTGGTTCGTTGATTAGTGGTATTTGGTAAAGGGAAGCCCTCCGGGTATGTTCAAAAAATTCGAACTCTTCCGATTTGGCTATAAAGGACCCATCCGGATTGAGAGCCTTCCTGTTCGTCAAAACGGGGACGCATCCTCCTACGATCGAAAAGTTAGAACTTACCAGATTGGCGAAAAAGGACTCTTTCGAATGAGGCCCTTCCGTTTTGTAGAAATGAGGACTTCCGAATTGGAGAAATGGGGACTCCTCCTGGTACGTTCGAAAAGTTAAAACTTCCAGAGGGGCGAATAAGGAAACTTCAGGATTGGGACTCTCCGGAGCGGCAAAATGGGCACCCGTCGGGGTACGTTTGGGAAATTAAGAGATTTCCAGGCTAATGAAATTGGTTCCTTTCTGAATCGGGACCCTTCCGGATTGGAAAACTAAGGACCGATCGAATGTTTCAAGACACCTCCTGTTACGCTCGTAAAACTATTTATACGTTAATTGGACTAAATGGGAAGGGTTTATTTTAAACTTGGATCCCTCTGACTCTAAGCATTTTGCTTATTTTGCAATTTAAACTAACATAGAGGGGGTGTTTTGATTGATTTATCTGTCTTCTTTGTGCTTTTTTGAGGACCCTGACCCTTCCTTATTGTTCAAAACAACGTTTAAAGCCTTAGTGATTTTTAATATTTTTTTTGTAGGGGTATAAAACTCTTGGAAAACAATTCTTTAAATCGGAAAGGGACTACCTTCAAAGCCGGACTTTTTGTTGAAATTTTTTAAAAAGATTTTCTACGGTCTTCTATCTCAGGAAATGATTGTTTCATGTGTGAACTTATTTTATTTGCGATCTTTATAGCGAACCAAATCTGTTTAGTGGTTCCCAAATTAAAAAAAGAAATGTCTTTCCTCTAAACTCTTCTAAGTTGCGCTCAAAGATTCAGCAACATTTGTCCCTTAGACCTATCAGCTACGGCTTTTAACTCAAAAGACTTAAAATTTCATAGTTCAGCGCAAAAGAAAATTCAATTAAGAAGGTTTTGGTCGAAGAAATAAGAGAAAACAATAGAAAATGGACCCCTCCAGATTGGTGCTTCCACCAAATCAATCTCGATCAGTTCATTTGTTCTGGGATCTGGTAACGGGTTCTAAAACCTGTCGACTCATCAGTGTATGTTATCGGACAAATAATCTCTTTAGTGATAACTTGAAAGTTTCGAAAATATTCTTTCTGAGGGGTGTTTCTAATATCAAAAATTCTAGAAAAAAATTGGAACGTGTTACTCAGTTTCTTCTTGAGGTATCCAGGTTAGTTTTAATAAGTTTTGAATTGCTAACTTATTTACTAATTTAATTTACGTACGATGTTTATTACTAATTTAGCGCTTTTTATAAATACAAAAAACAGAGATAGCTTAATATTCGGGTTTTCTGGGGATTGAAATTACAAAACTTTGGTCGGTAACTTGTTTCGTTGATGGACTATTTGGTTGAAAAACAGTATGGGAGTATTATTACGGGTAGTATAAGTAGGAGTAAAACTATTAAACACCTCCGAATATGTTCTATAACCGAATTAGGGTGCCTAACTTGGAAGCTTGCAAATCGGTGAGAAGTAATTTCTGTGAAGTCACTGTCGAATCGAACAGATTGCTATCACTTTTTCTGTACCTAAAATGATAAAAAAATTGTTTAAGGATACCCATCAGTTGTTTGTTGTTGTCATAATGCACTTTTTGCTGCTCCTGCTCCTTGCACTGTTGGATTGTTCTTCCTCTTCAATCATTTGACACTTCCTGCTGCCCCTTGCACTACTGGATTGCTCTTCTTCTTCGACCACTTCAACTTTGCGGATCGATTGAAATTTAGCATTAACCCACTTATTACTCATATAACGCTAGAGTACTGTTTTGAGATTGATCGTAACAAGCAAGTATAATGAAATATATATTTTTCACAAAACAGACAAGAAAGTTGGATACTATTTTTTGTTTTGTTTCTTATATATCTTTGAGTCATTTTCGTCAAATAACGTTAAGGAACAAAAAAGCGGCTAATTCGTTCAACCTTTACCAAACGTAAAACTTTGGTGGTAATTAGGTAAAAAAATCAATCAAGGAATCCGAAGGTTTTCGTGTTTAGAACCACCATTCTGGTTTTCAGCAGTAGAGGAGTGAGCAGAGGTGGGGGATCCCGGCGATCTTCCATGTTTTAAGACAGGAATACATTTGCGAGACCGCTGGCTATGTATTAAGATGGGAATAGATTTCCCAGGTATTAAGATAGCTTAAGGGTTTTGCCAAAGGTTTGAGATGGTAAGATGGTAAATTAGGGATTTTGCCAGTCATGATACATTAAAAAGCAACCAAGAGTGGCATAAAAACACATATGTAAAAATCGCCTGAAATTGATAACGACGGAAAAAAGCTAAGTCCTGAAACAATTGGCTAGGGTTAAAGTAGAGCTTTACGTGCTATTGACCGTCTCTGCAATATCAAAATGGTTTTCAGTACATTGAGTCGACAAAATTGTTACTAACAATATGCTATCAGCTGAGTTGCGCAAACTAACTCACAAGTGAATAAAAAGAGCTCATGGCTGGGTTTCAGTATTGAAAAACCACAAGGTTGTTCATAAAACAGGATTGGTACGCAATCATTACAAAGTTACTATATTACTATTGTTTTTGTAGAGTAGAGGAAATCATCACATCCATCAGAAAAAAATTAACTCTTGCCCTCCAATCTTAGCATCTCATAATCTGAAAAAAAAATTGATATTTTTTTGATTCAGGCCATACCAAGAAGCTAAAAATGTTTAAAAAATAGTTCTCCAGTTCAATAAAAGACCCTACCGAAATTTTTCAGTTCACTGAAGAAGCGCCTTCTTCGCTACCAGGAAAGGTAGTAGCTTTCTCGATTGGTGAAGTATGGCAAAAAGCGATTGTAGCTGGGATGGGTAGCGGTTGTAGCTGCATAATCGTCACAATTCGGCGTGATTCTTTTGTCTTTAATTGCTCGATTGTGGTTCACGTATGTACTGCCCGTTTTCAAAAACTGTTTCATATCTGGCAGCGAAGATCGTTGTTCTGATTTTCGCTCTTCAGTTTTTGCGAAAATCAAACTGTCAAGTGTCATGGACGCTCAAATCATCCCATAAGGTCTCCTAATATCCCAATCATTTCAATTAATACTACTAAATGTTCTGTTTCCGCCTTTTCGTGGCAACTTTCCGTATTTTTGAGGGGTTGTTTTTCTAATTTTTCCAGTTCTACGTTTACATTCAAAACCGTGAAGGTTCTATTTGATGATCTGCGAATAAGGACCCATCGGGATTGTGAACTCTCCGAATTGTCAAAATGAGGACCCCTCGTGGTACGTTCGAAAAACTAGAACCCTTCAGGATCAGCAAAAAAGGACCCTCCGGACTGGCGAAATTAGGACTCCTCCTGGTGCGTTCGAAAACCAGGACCCTTTCAGGTTGGCAATTAAGACCCCTTTTGGATTGGGACCCTTCCGGATTGACAAAATGGGAAGCCCTCCGGGTTAGTTCAAAAAATTAGAACTCTTCCGGTTTGGCGAATAGGGACCCTTCCGGACTGGGAACCTTCCTGTTTGGCGAAAGATGGACTCATCCGCGTACGATCGAAAAGTTTGAGTCTAACAAATTGGCGAACAAGGACCCTTGCGAATGGGACCCTTCCGTATTGGAAAGATGGGGACCCCTCCGGATATGTTTGAAAAGTCAGGAACCTTCTCGATTAAGGACCCTTCCGGATTGGCAAAATGAGGACTCCTCCGTGTACGTTTGAAATTTTACGACCCTTCCGTAATTGTGAAAAAGGACCCTATGGGATTGGGAGCCTTCCTGTTCGGCGAAGCGTTGCCCCCTCTGAGTGCGTTCGAAAGAGGAGGACCTTTCCGGATTAGGATCCTACCGGGTTGGCGGAATGGTGCCCACCGGGTGCGCTCGAAAAACAGGACCTTACAGAATGGCAATTACGGACCCTTCCAGGTTGGGACCCTTTTGGATTGACGAAATGGGGAGCCCTCCGGGTACGTTCAAAAAATAAGGACCCTTCAGGAGTGGCGAAAGGGAATCTTCCGGATTGGCAACTTTCCTGGTTGGTGAAATGGGACCCATCCAGGTACGATCGAAAAGTTCATTCTTCCAGAATGACAAATAAAATAATTTCAGGATTGGGTCTTTCAAAAACTTTTCTAGGGTGTTTTGTCAAAAAAAGAATAAATCGTTTGTGCGTTAATTATTTTTCTGATTAAGTGATACTAAAATAAATCAAATCCTTTGATACCAAAATAACTCAAAAAGTGGTTTTTGAGTTAAAAAACGAAACGTCTTTCATCTAAACTCAGAAGTTTTCGACTCTTACAGGTTGCGCTCCGTTTTTCTGCAAAGCTTGTCCCTTGGGCCTATGAGCTACTGATTTGATCTCAATAAAAAATTATTTGGCCCGAGAAATTGAAAAAAAAAACAATAAAAAATTGGACCCCGCTGGATTGTTGAATACACCAAATCAAACTCGTTAAGTTCAATTTCTCCGGGACGTAAGAAGAGTTACTGGTAAGCAGGTTCTAAAAATTGTCGACTCACTAGTGTATGTTATCGGAAAAATATTCTATGGGGTAACTAAAAAGTTTCAAATTTTTTTTGAAAACGGTGTTTTTAAAGTCAAAATTGTAAAAAAATTTGGTTGATAAACAATTTGGTGGTTGAAAAACAAAATATGAGTTTAATACGAGTAGTAAAAAGTGTAGTAAATTTATTGTACCCCTCCGGATTCATTCAATAACCAAATTCGGCTGCCTAGCAGTCACTGTCGAATCGCCCACAGAGTGATATTGTACTTCTTGCACCAAAAAAGATTCAAAAATGCTTGAGGATATCCATTAGTCGGTTGGTCTTGTCCTAATTCCTTTTAGGCTGCTCTTTGCACTGTTGGATTGTTCTTCCTCTTCAATCACTTGACCCTTCCAGCTCGATGGAAACATAGCATTAACGTGATTAATTACTCAAATAACCCTACAGTACTGGTTTAAAAGAGGACTCTATAGGTTGATCGCTAAAATCAGGTTTGACATAACTAAATAAAAAAACACAAAATAAGCAACAAAGTCGGATCGCGTCTCGTCAGGAAAGATATTCACTACTGATATTAATTTTTTTCTGTCTTTCTGGTTTTTTTGGTTATATTTTGTTTTTTGGCTTTTTTGTTTAAACTTTAGTTTTGCTTGGTTTATTGTATATCTTTAATTTTTTGGTCAAATAACCTTTAAAGAACGAAAAGACGGCCTATATCTCCATCCTTTACGGTACGTGAAATTTTGGTGTTAACTAGATTGAAAAACCATTTCAAAGAATCTGGGAGGTTTTGTGTTTAGAACCACCCTTCTATTTGTCGTTTGAAGCCTTGTTGTGAGCCTCCGTTTGACGTTGAGGCTTCAGTTAACGATTTTGCAAGTCATGATAAAATATAAAACACCCAAGAGTGGCATAAAAACACATATTCAAAAATCGTCCGAAGTTGATAACGACGGAAAAAAACTAAGTCCTGAAACAATTGGCCAGGGTCAAAGTAGAGCTTTACGTGCTATTGACCGTCTCTGCAATATCAAATTCAAAATGGTTCTCAGTACATTGAGTCGACAAAATTGTTACTAACAATGGGCTATCAGCTGATTTGCGCGAAATAACCTAAATTACAAGTGAATAAAGAGAGCTCATGGCTGAGTTTCAGTATCGAAAGACCACAAGGTTGTTCATAAACAGGATTGATACGCGATCATTACAAAGTTACTATATTACTATTAATTTTGTAGAGGAAAGGAAATCATCCCATCCATCAAAAAAGAATTAACCCTTGCCCTCCAATCTTAGCGTCTCACGATCTGAAAAAAAAGTTTGATATTTTTTTTGGTTCAGGCCATACCATGAAGCTAAAATTGTTTAAAAAATAGTTCTCCAGTTCAATAAGAGACCCTACCGGATTTTTTTAGTTCACTGAAGAAGCGCCTTCTTCGCTACCAGGAAAGGTAGTAGCTTTCCCAATTGGTGAAGTATGGCAAAAAGCGATTGTAGATGGGATGGGTAGCGGTTGTAGCTGCATAATCGTCACAACACGGTGGGATTGTTTTGTCTTTAATTGGTCGATCGTGGTTCACGTTCGCACTGCCCGTTTTCAAAAACTGTTTCATATGTGGCAGCGAAGATCGTTGTTCTGATTTTCGCGCTTCAGTTTTTGCGAAAATCAAACTGTCAAGTGTCATGGACGCTCAAATCATCCGCTTAAGTCTCCTAATATCCCAATC